AAATGAGACAGATAAAGCAAAAAGTAAACTTTTCATGACAATCTGGGGTCTATTATTTCCTGTAGGTTTGAAACATGTCATAAACACAAAGAAAAATATTTAAAGTTTACATGTGAAATATAATGATCAATGTATTTCAACAACCTCAAAGTAAACACAATCAGTACAAGGTTTTACAGCCTTTTCTTTTTAATACTGCTTGATGAAAACCATTGGTAAATGGTTGAAAGAAATGCCAATTCGGTCTAAGCAACTTGGTAAGGTGGAGAGGTGGTCAAAATCATGCCAATGGGATAAATGACTCTTTGGCGGTCTGGCCAACCCCAGCAATGGAGAGTACCATGTTAGATGAGGGGATGAACTTCCTCTCCTTCAGAAAATTCTCCATAAATGTGTTTTTTTCCTGAGATTCTGATAAGCAACAGACAGTGGTGAGTTCAGAGTTTTATTCCCTGCCAAGTACTTATTTCTTCTGTTAAGTTCTATACCTTGATATTCAGCCAAGCTGGCAAAGAACAGATGTCCTCCACAGAGGGTTGTAAAGCCTGACAAAGACAAGTGCCTGGATATAAGCCCCCCCCGCCACCCCCATGGCAAGTAGTACTGATGGTACTTGTGGGCAGAGACAGCCTGGACTCCAGGCAGGTTGGGCAAAAAGCACCAGATTTCTATGAAGAATCACATCACTACCATTTTTTATTTAATTTCTTTTTTCAAGTGAACAATTTAATCAATCATAACTGTTATATTAGTGTACTTTTGTATGAAGTTTAATAAATGCAGAAAACAAGGAGAAGTTTGGATAACTCCAGCAAATATTAAATAGCAGAGTGTAATAGCACAAAGTCTTTATTGTATTCTTCATTATTGTGTTATTGTCATTGTAACGCATCAGCAAATGAATAAACAAGTTCACTGGTATTGGGCATTTTACCTTCCACCTTGGCATTAAAATAATAATACTGCTAACAATTCCAGATAAACAGCCATAGTTCTAGTGATGTGAATGCACTGAATGTTCCTCTAACTCTCCCCAACTCCTGTTATGAAGGAAAAGGGATGATGTTCCAACTTCTCCTTCCATCTGCTCTTTTCCTATCAACTTTCCAGACTTCCCATGATAATCACTTTAACTGACTGCACATATATAATAATTGGAAGTGGGTCTGTGTGATTTTCCTTGCTCTGCACCCCTAACTACTATCTCTGGGAATGACCATAACTGTATAAACTAGCATCTCTAGGGGAGTCCTTTATGAGCATTCAGACAAGTGGCTTTGCTTTGGTATGTTGTGGATGCTAGAGGAACCATGAGGTATGAGCCTATGTTGGAGCCCCAGTTACACTCCCCTCCCCGTCAAGTCAAATATTTACCAACGCTCTTTCACAGGCCAAAGAATCCTGAAGTCTGGACCATTAGGATGTTGTGTCTCTAGTCTAGACCCATGGTTTTCACACCATCAGCATCAGCATCATCTGGGAACTTGTTAGAAATGCAAATTCTCAAGCTTCACTCCAGTCCTGATGAATTACAAACTCGGGGTGAGTACCAGCAATCTGTGTTTTAACAAACCTTCCAGATGATTCTGATATTTGCTAAAGTTTGAGAATCATGGATTATTCTCAATTTTGGTCCATCAGACATGGTATAGCGTGAAGAATGTGAATTCTGAAGCCAGACTTTCTGACTTCAAATTCTAGGTCTCCTACTAACTATACGCTACTGCACAAATTGCTTCACCTTTCTGTGCCTCAGTTCCTTATCTATAAAATTAGGCTAATAGTAGTATACCTATTCATGGGATGGTTGTAAGAATTAAATGGATTTTTTAAATGATTATTTATTTGAGGGGTGTGTGTGTGCAGGGGAGGGGGTGTGTGTGTGTGTGCAGGGGAGGGGTGTGTGTGTGTGTGCAGGGGAGGAGGGGGAGGGCAGAAAGAGAGGGAGACAGAATCTCAAGCAGACTACCCACTGAGCACAGAGCCAGATGCGGAGCTGGAGATCATGACCTGAGCTGAAATCCACAGTCAGACACCTAACCAAATGAGCCAACTGGGTGGTCCTAAATGGATTGTTTTAATAATTGTCAGCTATTTTCATGAAGTTAAACAAGAAAGGATGATTTGCCTTTGGCAAACTCCTTTACTTCCCTGAGACACAGTGACTTTACCTGTAAACAGGACAATTATTTCTGAACCACTTGTATCACTGGGCTGATGTGAAGACAAAATGAGAAAATGTGTAAGTCCTTTGTAAACTGAAATAGCTATTTAAGACAAGGTAGCAAATATATGCCACATTCACCAACATGATAATGATTTTCCCCTCATCCCTCATCAGGTGCAGAGTAAATCCAATAAATTGTCTCTTTCAGTTTCTCTCCACCAACTGATCATTCTACCCATTTTTTAGAGAGCACTCAATTCATACTGAGAGCAGCTGTCACAGTCGACAAGGTATTTTTCTAGTGTCTTCTGTAGTACTTCTTTAGATACCAGACATCTCTCTCTTCTCTAGTGACATCATTCTTGCTAAATAAATGTTTGTTATTCCCCCAGTGGTTTCCATCTGAGTTGGAAATATGCCATAGTTAGCAGCATGACTTACTTGTTGATATCCTTCCAAACTCTATATATAGAGTAACTATACTGAAGACACATTACAAAAACAACCATCCATTGAGCAACTATTAGGAACAAGGTACTGTGCTAAGGCTCCACATACTTCCTTTCATTCATTCCTCAAAACAACTCCATGAAGCAAGTACTGTGACTACCCCTATTTTATAAATGAGAAAAACAACTTTACCAAAGCTTTTCAACTAGAAAGATCCCTTTGATTCCAAGAGTTTTTTTCAATGGACCCACCCTGTAGAACAAAATCATCTTGTCCTGGAACTCTTCTGGCACTTTGAAAACTGAACACACCAAGACAAGGACAGAGACAAATGAACCAGCTTATCTCACATGCGTCTCAATAAGAAAACCTGTGTCTGGGTGGGGTTCGAGTGACATTTTAAAAATGCTCAAGAAGCATTTCATTTTTCTCTACTCACTATCTTTGTCACCACAAAGATCAGGACTGTGCTTCAGAAGGCCACCTAACTTTCCCTAAGACCAAAATCAAATTACCACTCCTATCACATTACACAGTTATGGTTGTTCTGTTTAAACTTACCACACTGATTTATTTGTTCCCCACCCCCAACCCTAGGGCACATCATTTTTAACCAAAAATTGAAATGATATCACTTGTCTATTCAAAAACATCTTTTACTGACTTTCTTTTATTTTTTTCATATGTCTTTCATCAGTGAAAGAGGTCAGTATGCAGAATGACTCGGAAAAGCCTAAATATCCACAAAATCTTGAAGTTTATTTAGAAATGTAAGCTATATAAGAGAATTCCATTTACTCATAATGTCATCTTAGGATATAAGAGCAAATGTCCAAAGATCACCAAATGGGTGTTTAGAAAAACCTACAACTGCAAACATTTAAATAGAGCCAAAAGACCTTTCAACCAACCTCTTTACCTGACAGATGCCATCTCTGAGGGCTTTTCGAGTAGGCTCACTCACGCTCCTTCAACTGGTAGAAGCAATACTTAAAACTCATTTTTTGCTTTGCTTTGTTATAGTGCCTTGACAAACAAATCTATGTAGTTTCCCAACCATACAGACCTGAGAATTGCCCTCCAGAAATATTTGAATACATTAATTTGCTGACTCAAATGCAAATGAAGTGTAATTTAGTGGATCTTTTCATCCCAAACCTGAAATCTGTTGAGGTTCAAGTGCATTTGCTTCAACTTTTGAAAAAGATTTTGTAAGGATCCTTAGCTGTTACCCATTGATGGTATGAATTTATGGAGTGCTAGTCTGGATGAAAACAGCATTATAACATAAAATGCATCATTAATACTTTAAAACCCAGTATGATTTATATTTATATAAATAACATAAAGGAAGCCAATTAAGCCAAAGTCACTGGAGTGTAAATAACATAAAAACTTATTGTTCTGTAAGCTACCGAAAATACACTAATAATGAAAGTATTTATCATATGTCTAAAAACCAAGCAGGTAATAGTGGGTTAAGTAAACTTCGGGGGAAAGCATTTTTATTTTTCTGACATCTTTTAATGCAGGCCCAACATTTTCATCGACTCAGATCCATTTAAAATGTGACATTATATCTGAAAGTTGCCTTTTGTCCATTTGAGTAATTTATAATTTAAGTGTAACAAGGACATCTTGATTCAAACACTTTGTAATCTGACTAGGAGGATATTTAAAATTCATTACAGGACATTAAACTTGCAGTGAACAGTTAGCTTCATTGCAAAATAAATAAATGGCTAATTTGCTTTGATCAGCAGAAATTCTGATAAAATCAGCAAAACACCAATTAAAATGTGAAAAATGTCACCTACCATAGTTATTCTAATGGAACATGGACTTAAAGGAAGGAACTGATTCAATGTTTATTTTCATACCAGCTGTGGCTTCCAAATGTAAATCATTTCACTTTTTGCTAGTATAGCTAGCTCCTCTGTGGCCCCTGCTTTGATCCTATGGTTGAACAATCTGTATTACATAACAAGGCAGCAACTGGGGTTGCTGTTGAATTCCTTTAATTTTCTGGCAAATCATTGTTTCCTCTTAATGTTTTACCAGTCTTCTCATTTCAGAGAGTACTGCTAACTAGTTGAGAGCAAAAGCTATGGCCAAATGATCCACAGTCCTTTCCTGCACGTGTGAGCACTCCTAGGTTGAGGCAGTCTCTCTTGGAAGAATCATGACCCTTTGATCATCATGTCAGTCATGTTAGTCCATCAGCACAACATTGGCTGCTATCTGTCCACAATAATTCAGATTTCTGTCACAGCATGGCAAATTCTAGTTCAGTGTGTGTTTATTCATTCCTAGTACTTAACCTAGTACCATATACCTGGTGGGTGCTCAATAAATGAGCCCTGGAAGGACTGAGGAGTCCTACCTGTCAGTGTCTTTCAGTAAATTCTATGGCAGGTGCTTGGGCCTCTTGATCTCAGGATCCAGAAATCAATTCTCACCTCCACAATGCCTCTAAAATAAAGGGAATAATTGTGTGAGAAAGGAAAATACTGCTCATTGCATGTCCTGTTTATGGAATTTAAAAAAAAAAAAGAACAAAAGATAGAATTGCTTTGAATTGCAAGATGGATTTTCTTTCTTCATCTGCCTTTTCTTCTATGTAGGCAGTTTTTTCTAGACAGAAACCATGAATTCATTTCTAACAAGCACTGTGGAATCTCTATCAGTTCTGGCCACTTCAGAAATCAGTAACAGGAAAGGAATATGTAAAAATGAAAATGATTGTGCTCTATCGTGGGTTCTGTTTTCTTTTGAATTTTTAAAAAATGTTGTTTCATCATCTTTTCAATAATTACATGCAATAGATATTTAAGAAGAAATGTTATGATGAGACACTCAGCGTGGAACGTGGCCCATTTGCAAATGCACTTGTTCATTAACCAATTAGGAGATGAAGCCTACATTTAAGCAAATCCACAATTCAAAAACCCCCAAATTAAATTTAAATACCTCAGGGCAACCCATAATGAGTTTAAAATTAAGTGAAATAACAGGAATTTTACTGAGTTCAAAACAACTAATTGTTGGAAGCTGCTTTCACTCATTTGAAGTTCTGTCCAATTACTGCCATTGCATTTCATACCTTCAATTTATATCTTGCCATACGAGTTTCCTTTTAATAATAGGGGATGGGCCAGTCCATTTGCCAGTAAGATGAGTTCTGCATGTATGCCTTAATATATATAATGCAAAACTCAACCTTGAATATGTGCATATGAATTTAAGACTGTATTTTTATCCTTAAAGAAAAGTTAGACACATGATCTTATCTGCAACTGGTCATTTGTTTTCATTTAATTAGAAAGCATAATGGCGTAATGAAATCAGAAAGGTCTTTGTACTGACTCCAGCTACCACCCTCCATCATCACACATTTGCAGCGATCTTAGGCAAGTACCTTCACCTCTCTAAGCCTCATCTTGCTGTATTTCTAAATTGGGATAACGATACACCTAACTGACAGAATTGTTGTGAGAACTGGATGATCATAAATGTAAAGCATGTAGGATAATGCTTGGTACATAGTAATCACTCAATAAATTCCAACCACTACAATTAGTCACTACCATGCCATATTAAAAAAAAAAAAAAAAAAACACCAGGCAAATTAATAAAATGCAGGGTTTTGAACCTCAAAAGGGTTGCCAGATGTAGCAGATAAAAATGCAGGGTGCAATATTTGGGGCATACTTACACTACAAAAGCATTCACTATTTATCTGAAATTCAAATTTAATGAGGGCATCCTGTATTTTATCCGGCAATTTAGTGCTTAAGTTCTGGTACTTAAAGACCTTAAAATTTCATATTTTCCTTTAAATATTTGGGAATCAAGCAAAGGGCAGGTTAGAAGTGAAATGTTCAGATTACTGCCTTAATTTGTCACTTCACTTTGGGCACAGAGACAGAAAGTTTCCACTGTCACTCTGGATGTCCTTGGGACACCATGACATGCAATCAACATCACCTGTGCTAGCTGATAATTCAGAGTATATGATGCCCTTGTTTATAGCATCTTCAATTCCACAGACATTTTTACTTGACTAATTCACTGTTTCATACCAGGCAGGGGGTAGGGAGGAAATCATTCAAACTAAATGCTACTCTGAAGTTCAGTTACTTGGCTGGAAAACACCAGATAAATTGATAATTGCAAATGGTCTGAAATTTCAATGATTTTTTTCCACTTCAACAAAATCTATTGAGCACACCCAAATAATTTAAAAGTGCTGAAAATAAGCAGTATTGGGGATTAATGAAAGCAATATATTCACTCTGTTGCATTTATTATATTTAAATTATAGTACTCCCACTTGAAGGAATGCAATGAGGTTGAAATGAAGCAATTTTGTTGTTAAATATTGTCATTTAGAATAAAATGCATGTGACTCTGGAAGAGAAACAGCACACAGTGTTGTTTTTTCTGTTTATCCTTAGTTATTTTCAAGTAAAGCAAGAGAAAAAAAATGTAGTAACAAGGACGTCTTATGTCCCAATGATCCCACAGGATATTGACCAGACTTGGCACAAATTGCTTGGGATGTGAGAACTAAGGAGGCAAAGACAAGAGCTCAGATCCCAGCAGCTCCTTCTGGGGTTCAGCTAGGAGTGGCTCTTCTTGCTGGTGGATTGGCTCTAGGCTAGTGTCTCTAAAAACTGGGGGGGGTGGGGGGGTGGGAAATAGAGATACCTGGACAACAGGACATTCTCTGGGGGCATAGAACCTATCCTCATAGAACACATTTTCTGGTAGAGGAGACAAACATAATTTGTACACCAGATGATGATAAGTGTTACAAAAGGAAAATGGGTTTTTTGGCTGTGTAACTTTAGGCAAATTACTTATCCTCTCTAAGCTTCAATTTCCTTATCTGCACAATGGGAGGTAATATCTACTATGCAGGGTCTTTGTGAGAAGCAAAGAGGATGGATGCAAAGTAGACACAGTTCCTGGAGAACAGAAGCTGTAACTGTAATCGCTTTATTACTATTATTTTTGATTTTGTAGTTTTATTACTATTATTTTCATTATTATTTTTTCTGCTTTATCTTGTTAGGAATGGAAACCAAAAGTATAGCAAAGGTAGAGTTGCCAGATATAGTACAGAACACCCGGTTAAATTTGAATCTCAGAAAAACAATGTATAATTTTTTAGCATAAGTATGTCCCATATAATATGCAGAACATGCTCATGCTAAAAATATCATTTATTGCTTATCTGAAATTCAAATTTAACTGCGCATCCTGCATACCATCCCCGCCCATTTTATAAAAATATAAAAAATAGGGACACCTGGGTGGCTCAGTTGGTTAAGCATCTGCCTTCAGCTCAGGTCATGATCCCCTGGTACTGGTACTGAATGTCACATAAGGCTCCCTGCTCAGTGGGGAGTCTGCTTCACCCTCTCCCTCTATCCTTTCCCTGTGCTTGTGCTGTCTCTCTCTCATTCACTCTCTCTCTTTCAAATAAATAAAATCTAAAAAATACATATATAAAATAACCCTAAGTAAAAGGTCCCTTCCAGAAAGTCTGTCAAAATTAAAATCCTTCTGAATCACGTTCCTCTTTCCTACTATTTTTTTCTGTAATGTCGACATTTTCTTAATTTCATTTTCCTTTTAAGTTAATGTGTGTCATAGCAAATTCCTTATCAGAGTAAAGGTTCACAGTGCTAATATCCTTGGGACAGCTCCATATGCCTTAGAGAAGACTCTTGCATACAGGGCCACTAGAAGTGCCTTCTTGTCTGTAAGATGGGGTGCCAAATAATGGTGATCTAGCTTACAGTACAGTGCAATGGCCTTCACTAAAGTGGGGAACTCAGTGTGGAGTGTGGAAAATGCACAAGAAAGCTATTATTGTTATTTTTCACTCATTCATTCATCAAAAACTCACTGAGTTACTTTGACAGGGCAGGCACTGTTTGAGGCATTGAGCATATAGCAATGAGCAACTCTCAGCTTGTTGGAAGGTTCCATATGCCACAGACCCTACCCTCATTAAACTTACCTTCCACTGGGGAAAACAAACAAATAAAAATATTGTGTCAGATGATGATAAGTGCTATGGTAGAAAAAAAAGAAGGGTGTGATTAGAGAGTGAGAGAGTTGTTATTCTCAATTGGGTGACTGAAGAAGGAAGGCAGCTCTGATGAGTGACAGTTAAGCAGAATCCTTAAATGAACTTAGGGAGCAAGCCACAGGATATTGGGGGAAGAACAATCTAGGAGGACGGAAGAGCAAATGCAAATCTCTGAAGCAGGTGAGTAATTGACAAGTCACAGAAAGACCATTATTGATGAGACTGATCAGGAAAACATATTTTTATTTCCATAAGCCAGTCTACCTGGAAATACTGGCCTCTCATAGACCTCAGGATCACATTTACAGCCCAACTGCAACCACTGCTTACCAAGTTTACACTGACAATCCCCCTGCATGTGTCCCAAAGTCTGAGAAAGTGTCACTTTAGAAGACTATTCTTAAGGGAAGCAAACCCTTTTCCAGCTGATGCCACTGCCTTTACCCATCCTCAATGACACAACAAGTTAATTCTCCCATAGCCACCTAAAAGTTGTACTAGATATAGGACCTTACAATGGGAGGAGAGCTCCTAGCTTACCTTGTCCAGCCCATCTTTGCTTTCTATGTCAGCCATTTTTCTTCCTTAGCTTTTAATTTCTATCCTTTGCCATATTAAGTGATTGATATAAAATTCTGTCCCTTCAGGTGGCAAATATAAAACCTGACCTCTGGCATCTGTCCATTATCTCTATTTCTTAGTCATCAGGCAGTGTGTGTACCTTGGTAAGACAACCTTCAGGAGAAATCTAGATTATTTAAAACCTTTTAAAAATGCAGCTTAACTAGTTTTTCAGTACCTTCACATTTTCTTCCCCTAGAGCTCTTTTTTTTTTTTAATAAAGATTTTTATTTATTTATTCATGAGAGACAGAGAGAGAGAGAGGCAGAGGGAGAAGCAGGCTCCCAAGAGCAGAGAGCCCGATGCGGGACTCGATCCCAGGACCCTGGGATCATGACCTGAGCCGAAGGCAGACGCTTAACCATCTGAGCCACCCAGGCGCCCCTCCCCTAGAGCTCTTAAAAGTGCTTTCAAGGATAGAACAGGATTATTTAAAATAATCAAATTCATTTTTAATATGCCAGCACTATATTAAACTGGTTCTGGGATTCAGTAATTGTATCTCACTCTTAAGTAGTGTAAACATTTCTTTCATTTACTTTACTTTGTTCTATATAAACTATAGAAATCAATTCCAGTAAATTAACATGTTAGGATCTATACAGTCAATGCTGTAAAGGCTTCTTAAAGTTCTTTTTATTCTTTTCAGTAAATATTTTATCATTGTTGTGGTGGGTAGAATAGATACTAGGACATTTTTCCTGTGGCTCCTTCTGCCAGAATGAATCCTGATACCTCTACAATACCA